AGAAAGAAAGAAAGAAAGAAAGAAAGAAAGAAAGAAAGAAAGAAAGAAAGAAAGAAAGAAAGAAAGAACGTCAACTGGATAAGCTGTGGGGACCAAGCCAGTAAGCAGCACTCTTCCATGGCCTCTGCATCAGCTCCTGCCCTGATTTCTCTCAGTGATGCAGTCAAAAGTTGTAAAGTGAAATAAATCTTTTCCTCCTCAAGTAGATTTGGTCATGATATTTATCACAGCAATAGAAACCTAACAAAGACAACTCCTAAAATTAGAATATTGGATGTTCAAAAACGCATGTGGCAATCATTTGATCTTGGAAAACTTTAAAAAAAAATTTCCTTTTCAGACTTAGAAATAGTATTTTTAATGTATTATTGAACCTATCCCCAAAATCAGCTTGTATTTTTAATTTTTTTTTTAATTTAATGCTTGATCTCTCAGTACCACATGTTCCTGGCCTGGGATTCCTGAATGGAGTCAACAGTGAAGAATAAAGGAAAGCATAGACACTTTGCTCAAATGCTTATACATTTTAGTTTGAGAGAAATCTCCTCTCTGGGTCACAGCTTGAAAACTGACAGCTAAAAACCAGACTTTAGGCCTACTTTAATTGGGCTAGGCATTAGTTTGTCAGTTCTAAATGTCATAGAAAACATTCAAATATTTGGTCCCACTGAAATATTAGATCCGCCCATGAAAAGTATGCATGTGCGTAGCACAAGTGGTGTGTGTGTGTGTGTGTGTGTGTGTGTGTGTGTGTGTGTGTGTGTGTGTATACATGCGCTTTACTGGGAATTGAACTCAGAGTTGTGCACATGCTGGACAAATGCTCTCCAGCCAGCTAGCTGCTTCTGCATTGTGGCCTCTGTGGGGCTGGGAAATAGCCTCTCCAGCTTTTTCTCCCACACTTGCTGCCTCCCAACCACCTTGCTTCGTTCACATTTCTTGTTTCCTGAAGAAGTTTTTCATTTGCTCTCATTTTTTATGTCTTATTCCTTAGATAACAACCAGCTCCTTCTCCTAGCGTTACTAACTGTCAATCACTCTGATGCCAGCACAAAGCAAGGCTTCCCCCTCCCTCACAAATGCATGGTTTTCTTTCATCTATCTTAAAATTTTTGCGATTCATTTACCACCTACCATTCCAGAGCAACTTTGCACCTTTCACTGGAATAGGATTCCCATTCTCAGACACTGTTTAATTTTCACTGGAGCTAAGTGCCTGTGGGGCGAAGCCAAGTTCTTGTGCCCAACAAGGTGACTACAATATCCATGCCACTTCACTTCGGGCTCACCTGCACATCTAGACTCTTCCTCGCCAAGTCAGCCATGATGGAGCCGCCTTGCCAAGCTCTCCCTCCGTGAGATTTCAGCTTGATAACATCATGTGCAGCCCTGGCTCACCAGAGCCCTGTCGGCACATGAGCAGTTGCAGAGTTGAAGATGATAGATATGAGCATTCATCTCTGTCCCTGCCCACACTTGGCTTCGTTTGTGACATCTGCTTTCTTTTTCCCCAGGTTCTCTGATTTCTGTCCTTTTAGGAATTTCTTTCCCCACCTTCTCTCTTTTGTGTCAGTCGAAGGCCAGCCCCCTGACTAGTCCTCCCCTAGGGTAACCAGGGTTCTCTAAGTGTCTTCCTTCAACCTGTTCCCAGACCAGGCTTCTCTGTGTGGGCCTTACCTTCCCATGCCGTGGCCTTGGTGGGTCCACCTCTCACACACTCTTCTTCAAAACTCTTGGACTTACCTCCAAGTTGGGCTCAGGTGGGCCCAAATACACTTAAAAACAACTAAACTAACAAGCTAAGGAGAAAGGAACCCCTAGTAATAACAGGGATTGATTTTCTCCTGTTTGTGACTTTGATATTTTAGCCTTTGATTAAATTCATTGCTGCTGTTGCAATCGGGGACAGAATCTTAAGTAGTCCAGGCTGGTGTTGAACTCCTCCTTCTTCCGTCTCTGAAGTCCTGGGATTCCAGGTGTTTTTGGCCACACCCAGCTCAAGTTTGACCTTTTGTAACATCAAATCTGGCCATCTTTTCCTTGATGGTTTCTGCTTGCCCTGCTGTGACATCTCTAATGACGACCTAGTATGTCTTCTTCTCTCCTTGCAACTTTAATAGGCCCAGGTGTCTCACCAAATGTCTGCTGCAGTGGATGAATTAAAGGGTTAAATTTTCCAAAATAAGCATGCTGCAAGATGCCTGATTTACTATGCTTTTCCAATCAGTTAATGATTATCTAGTGACTCAACCCTTTGTCCTGTGATCTGAGCTGCCAGCTTGGTCCTATTTGGAACATGGTATGATAAGTCTGGTTCCTATGGTGGGCCAATGCTACCTATATTTTGCTTTAAAAAAATTTTTTTTAGATTTATTTATTTTTATGTTATGTGTGTGCATGTTTTGCCTGCTTGTTTGTATGTGCACCGTGTGTGTGTGTGTGTGTGTGTGTGTGTGTGTGTGTGTGTGTGTGCCCATTCCCTACAGAGGTCAGAGGAGGATATCAGATCTCCTGGAACTGGAGTTCCTGGTGGCTATGAGTCATCATGTGGGTGCTGGGAACGGAACCTCTTCTTCTGCTTGAGCAACAGGTGATCCATTTCTATGGCCCCACATTTTGCTTTTTTAAATATTATTTTAGAACCTCCACATGTGTGTACAAACATATACAAAGACCACAACCATTTAAGCTATTTGTTGCAGCTTACAAATTATTTAAAGCACTCCATGTATTTTTTCTCATTGCTCTTAATTATTGTTTTCCACGGGTAAGGCCTACCCAGACACCGGCTACACCCTTCCTCTTGAAATCTGGCACCAGAGGTGGAGAGGGTCAGAGGCACATGGGGACTCCTCTTGGCCTGAAAGAGGTATCCAGTGTCCCCTCTGGAGGGCAGGGCACTGTGAAACATTCCTCTCCTGAGAACACGGACAAAGGACTGTCTATAAAGGAACCACAGCAGCTCCCACAAGGTCGCATCACGATGACAGATGCACATGGGCAGGGAAGAAGAAATGGCCTCAGCTATAAACAAATTCCAAGTGTTTTCTTAACGCATCAGCATCTTCTGGAAAATGCACACTTGATGGACTAGTCACCTGCTAAGTTAGAGGACCACTTAAAACCCTTTAAGAACTTCAACTGTTGCTATGCGACAGAAGCTGGATGTAGAATTTAGAGTTGGGCTGATGTGTGTCTTTTGCAGGTTTTTTTTTTTTTTTTTTTTTTTTGTCCTTGTGAAGCTTACCAAAATACATCTTATTTTTATTTTTTACTTTTAATATATTTTATCTTAAAATTTATTGTACCTCCCAGTAGAAATGTGCTTCAAAGAGGATAGGCGTGTGTGTGTGTGTGTGTGTGTGTGTGTGTGTGTGTGTGTGTGTGTGTATGAACACATTTTCATGAATTCTGATCCTCTGCAAGAGCAGTTCTCCACAGTGGAGGAGCCATCTTTCCAGCAGTTCCAGCTATGTGCCCTCAGGGAAGTCACTGCCTTCTCAGAGCCCGTACCCTCCTTGCAAGGCTAATGTAGGACACAGTGAGATAATGTTTTGGACACTGAGTGTCCCCGTTTATCACTCACCCCCGTTGTGCAACTTGATCATTCCCTATAGACTGGAAATTCTTACTGTCATGTTTAGAGGAAAATGATGCTCAGCACCCACCAGCCAGCTAGTAAATGCTGGTACCAGGCTCTGAACTTCTCTTCTTCCTGTGATCTGCTTTGCCACAGGCTCGCAGATCTTAGAACAACCCATGGCACTGGTTAATGGCTAGTAACAGTGGCTTTGGTTGGTTTGCCTTTATCATAATTTTGGTGAGTTCTGCTGCCAACATTTCTAATGCCTTCTGCATCCGCCAAGACTTGTAAGTTTTATGATTTTTGCTGCCAAGCTCTTAAACTTCCAGGATTCATGGTCTCGCCTTCAAATACTTAAACCACAGGTGCAGCTGCCAAAGGAATTGGCCTAAGAGGCAGCAGGATCATCTAGAAGAACAGGACGTGAGCTGGAGGCTGTCTCACCAACAGCACGGGTGGCCGAACTGGGAACATGGCTCCATCCAGGCTGGGCATTGTTTGGGCTGTGAGGAGACACAAGGAGAAGGATACAGAGTCTCAGCGTTCACAGGCAGCAGGTTCCAGTTCTAAGAGTTTGACTGAGTTGGATGAAAATTGTAGAGTGATGCTTCTAGAAGCAGAAGTTAACATTTTTTGGTAAACACTTAACTGTTGCTTCCTTCTGGTAAATAACAATAAATCTGACAGAAGTGTGGACTGTTGCTTATACTCCACTCCCGTTTCTCTCTCCTTCCATCCTCTCCGTTGTCAGCCACCGCATGGCATCTTAAGGGTAATAAATCACATTGAAAACTCCGAGAATTTGAAGGGTGAGTGCCTGGGTCTTCCGCAGCTTTGGAATAAGGGATCCTTGGCTAGTTCTTCGGAGAACCAGTGAAAGCCTCCGGTCTCACTCTACTAGTACTTGTCTCGCTGCTGTAACAAAACACCCGACAAAAGCAGTTTACGAGAGGAACAGTTGACTTTGGTTCATGGTTTGAGGGTGGAGTCCATCACGGAGAGGGAGGCATGGCGGCAGGAACCTGAGGCAGCTGGTCACACTGGCCACAGGAGGCAGAGGGAGATGGATGTGGCATTCAGTGGTATCCTCTTGTGATGTTCAGCCTAGCACCCCAGGCCATGAATGGTGCCATCTGCATCCAGCTCAGCCTCTCTGGAAGGTCCCCCAAAGACGTGCCCAGAGGTGAGTCTCCTAGGTAATTCTAAATCTAGTTAAGCCATCAGTGAAGATTAATTAGCCTAGCCTACCGACTCTGCTCAGCGTTCTCCCTTGCGGACTCCGCTGCTGTCTTGAAGTATTCTTCTGAGACAGGTGTCTGTTCGGAGCAAAGCATGCAAGCAAGAGGCCATGGAGAAGACCATGTGTCACCAGGAAGAGTCAGGAGAAAAGCAAACCCTGCATATATAAAAGTCTCCTGCAGTGATTCCATACTTAGGGACAGTTACAGACAACATGCTGTTTTACAGGTGAAAGGGGGTGGGTGGGTGGTAAGTAAAGCAGTTGTTGGCAAGGTTTTGGGTTTTGCACATACACACGTATACACCACACACACACACACACACACACACACACACACAGTTTAATCTGAGTCTCTTCAAAACCCCTCAAAAGGAAACATATCTACAGTATTAAACACTTCACCCTCTGCTTCAAGATGCTCTGTCACCTGGTGAACCAGTCCACTCTCTTCCCTCACAGGTCATGTATCGCTCTTGAGAGAGCATCCTCTACACACCCCGAGTGTCTCTGCTCTCTGACTTTTCCACAGAAAAACCCAGGACACCCCACCATCTGTGAAGGTCCTGTCCGATTTCCCAACCCCATGGCAGGTTCTGTCTCCTCTGTAGAACCATTCCTGATGTCTCCAAGCCCTATCCCCCCCCCCCCCGCAAGTCCCCACAGTTCTTAGTTATGCATTATAGTTAGGAGATGCACACGGTCTAGGATACTGTAACAAAATCTCTAAAGTAATCCCGGGCTTTAAAAGAAAAAGTGGTGAGAACACAGGAATTAGGAAATCAAGTTTTGGTAACTTTCTGCTTTCTTTACCCGAGGCAAAAAGCAACATCCTGATTCTCTTCCCTTTTACACAATCATAGATGGATGTAGGGCAGGCAAAGTGGGCTGGGAGAGAATGTCTCTAATGCAGAGGTTCTCAATCTTCCTAACGCTGCAGCCCTTTAATACAGTTCCTCATGGTGTGGTGACTCCAAACCATACAGTTATTTTGTTGCTACTTCATAACTGTAATTTTGCTACTGTTATGAATCGTAATGTAAGTATCTGTGTCTTCTGATGGACTTAGACAGCCCCTGTGAAAGGATCATTTGCCCCCCAAAGTGGTTGTGACCCACAGGTTCAGAGTTGCTGCTCTAATGGAACGAACTGGAAACAGTACATCATAGGAAGAACAAACTATGAAAAATACGAGCTTTCTCTTCTGTTTTGTTTTTAAGATAATGAATACAAAAGCAGACAAATTTATGTAGCTTCCAATTAAGTAATTTTTAAAATAGTCAACAGCTTATAGCCTTGTTATTGCCTTTTGAAATGTTATTTTGTTTTTATCTCTCTCTCTCTCTCTCTCTCTCTCTCTCTCTCTCTCTCTGTGTGTGTGTGTGTGTGTGTAAGAGAGAGAGAGAGAGAGAGAGAGAGTGAGTGTGTGTGAGCGTGCACATCATGACACACGTAAAGGTCAGAGGAACCCTCAGTGGAACCAGTTCTCTCCTTTCATCTTTATTGGGGTTCCAGGGATCAGATCAAGGTTGAGACACACACACACACACACACACACACACACACAGAGAGAGAGAGAGAGAGAGAGAGAGAGAGAGAGAGAAGTTCTCATTATGCTTTTTAATATCATTATCATTTTTCTTTAATCTAATTCCCCTACCCTGAAGATCTTAACTGGAGATTATAACTTGTTTTTAAAAGGTAATGTTAGGGCCAGTGACATGGCTTGACAGGTAAGCATGCTTGCTGCCAAGGCTGAGCACTTGAGTTCAGCCTCCAGAACCCACACGAGAGGAGAGAACTGATTACCAAATGTATTCTGACCTCCACATGCACAAAATAAATAAATTCGAGTTTTTTTAAAAAAAAAATACAATATTTATAAACCATGTTTTTCTGTTATTGTCTATAATGGATGGTGTTAATTATCAACTGGACAGAATCTAGAGTCACCTGGGAAAGAGACCCCTGAGCATACTTGTGGGGGATTATCTTGATTGCATTAAAGTGGGAAGACCTGCCCACTGTGGGTGGCGCCATTCCCTGGCTGGGACTCAGAAAGGGCAGCAGCATGCACTCATGACTCCTTGCTTCCTGACTGTGGGTGTAGTATGTTGAGCTGATTCAGGCTCCTCCTGCCTTGACTCCCCCACTTTGATGGACTGTACCTTCCGAGAACGTAAGCTAGAACAAGCCTTTCTTCCTTGAGTCACTTTTGTGTTGCAGGAACCTTTCTGTGGTGGAAGAGGAGATGTCCCCAGTGGGCCGAAGCCAGGACAGCTCCTGAAGGCCTCAGTCCTGGATTCAGTTTGCGTTCTCATTTATTCTCTAAAACCACAGAGAGGGAGCGGCAGGCAAGAGACATTTGACCCAAGTGTGTTTGGTGGACTGCAGGTTGTCAAGGGCCGTGACCCATTGGTTCACCCATTTCTCCAGGCCATTCTGTTCCAGGGAGCAAAATCACTCTTGGCAGTACAGATAGCACTTTAGGGAAACCACTAAAGAAATCAATAAATCAGTATCTAATAATTGGTCTTTTTCTACCTTATTCTACTTCATGTGTCAGAGTATTTGATCACTGCAACAGGAAAAGAACCTAAGATGTCATCTCTCCAGACATGATCACTGGCTGTTAGAAATTGTCATGAGTATCTTTTAAAAATTCAAGCTATTGCCAGGCAGTGGTAGCACACGCCTTTAGTCCCGGCACTCAGGAGGCAAAGGCAGGTGGATCTCTGTGAGTTCAAGACCAGCCTGGTCTAAAAGTGAGTTCCAGTACAGCCAGGATACACACAGAGAAACCCTATCTTGAAAAAAAATTTTTTTCAAGTTATCACTTCCTGCAAGTTCATGACAGTCAAAATATATCACATAGAAAATAGAAGGGGCTTAAATGTATATAAAACCCATGGCAGGTTTAAAAGACCCTGATAGACTTCAGTTGTTTTTCTAGCTTCAAATAAATACCTAGTAAGGTTTTATTAAACAGCTTTCAAAATACAAGGTAGCATTAATATTAGCTGTGTGGTGTGATTTTAAGTTTTTCCAGGCTACCACCAAGTTTCTTAGATATTTAATACATTGAGTTGACATGCATTGATGAAAGTTTCACTAAAATGCATTTGATAAATTTTATTCTTCCTGTTTGGTTAAAGCCACAGATTCTAAAGCCAGTCTGAAGCTCTGAGCTAAAGATGAGGCTTCAGATTGGCTGAGACTAAACCACAAGACATCAAAGGTGCCAAAATGGTAACGGACTGTTTAGAACACACAGAGGGTTCTCTGGAAAGACTGTACCAGGTCTCTTTGCAATGACCGGAAAACCTAAGTGTTTTCTGTTTCATCTATGAAATCAGTAAACGGGCAAACACCCATTTCTCACCATCTGTTTCTAAATAGATGAGCAGCAAAGGGATGGATGCAATGAAATACATACGCCCGCACCATGCCAACTCTAATATCTCTTTAGTGTCTGGCTGCCACAGCTGCTGCGCACAACCTTAGGAGCCACAGGAGCCGTTTAAACTCACTTGGTGTGGTCCTCTAGGGAAGCTCCGCAGGATCAAAAAAGATCAACTGCCATTGTCCTCTCTGAGCTCTTAAGGAATTAATAAAACACACACTCATTTCTTTCTAGTTGCTCTCGTCTATTTAAAAACCAAACTCTGGGGCAGGAGAGGTGGCTTGAAGGCTAAGAGCACTTCCTGCTCCTTCAGAGAGCCTCAGTCCGTGTCCAGAACCCATGCCAACCACCTGTATCTGCAGCTGCAGGGGTCGGATGCCCTCTTCCAGCCTCTGTGGGCACTGCAGGCACATGGCATTCTCTCTCTCACACACACACAACAAATGAAAATAATAAAAACAAATCTGTAAAAAAAAAAAAAAATCAAAACAAAAGCTGAGTGGTGGTGGTGCACATCCTTGATCCCAGCACTCAGGAGGCAGATCTCTGTGAGTTCAAGGCCAACCTGGTATACAGAGTGAGTGCCAGGCCAGTCAAGGTTATCCAGAGGAACACTGTCTGGAAACTCCCCACCTCTCCCCCACCCCAAAACAACAACAACAACAACAACAACAACAAAAAACCTAAATAATGGAAACATTATCTTGGATACCTTTTATTCGTTGTAGTAACAAAAATGTGTCATATAAACAACTCAAGTTTGGTTTTATTTATTTATTTATTTTTACCAAGTCAAGAATAACAGAAGTTACAGAGCTGTAACTACCCCTCCACCCCCACCCCAGGAGGATGACACTTAGTTTGCAAGAAATACCTTCCGGTGAAAGCATATTACTACCCTTTTAAAAATTTTACAAAAATTTAACAAAACATTGTCCTAAACAGCTACCTTCATATTCGTAAACAAAATATAAACAACTGGCTGATCCAGTTTCCACTGCACATCAAACGGGTACCAGAGGGTCAGAGATCATCTCTGATGTCCAAACAACTAAGATACACTACTAACTAAC